AGACGTGGAAGAGCTGGCGGCCAAGGACGTTGACACTGTGACGGCAGGTGAGCAGCTCCGGGAGGAGACTCGCCGGCGGGCTGGGCAGGGCAGGTGGAGGCCGAGGGGCGGCAGACCACAGCTCGTCTGCCGTGTCAGCCGCGGTGGCGGTGAGCGGCCTTGTAGGCAGACCCTCCTGGGTGAGGCGAGTTATCCCCTCTGGCTGTCCCGTCATTGCTGCAGACACCGTGTCCAGAGCCACTGATGTGGTTACAGGAAGTCCTGTGCCCAGGCCTGGCGACTCTTAGGGGCACCCAATGAGACGATGAGGGGCTGCGGTGTGTTTGGGTGTGGGGGGTCTGTGGGTGCAGGCAGGGGCCCGTGCTGGAGGAGGCCCCGCCCAGAGGCAGTGGGCCCCTGTCCCCCTGAGGTGCGCAGACAGCGGCAGCTCTGAGCCCGGCCCCGCGGCGGGAGGGCTCGGTGGCCCGTGGCCGCTGCTCCGCGTCTGGCTGCTGTTCAGTTGGTGGAGAGAACTGATTATCTTAATAGGCAAGTGAAACAAAAAATCACTTTTCAAATATCAAGACTCTTAAATGTGTCTCAGGTCACAGTTGGCTTTTTCTTAGTGTCCCGTAGAAACGGTGGCTTTGCATGAGCACGTGGACTTGGCTTGTGTGGCCGTCAAGTGGCCTCAGACCTTCTCGATCTTGTCTTCTCTGGGTGGAGGGGCCTTAGAGCCGCTGCTGCGCTCGCCCTGAGCCGTGCATCTGCGAGGCATTGGGAACACTCCTTCCTCTGGCTTCGCGTGGGGTGAACGTGGAGCCACCTGCACTTTGGTGTGTGCAGCGGGGGTGTGGGGGCTCCCAGGGGCTGGTGTCCCTCGGGCCTGGCTGGGACTGCTGTGTCACACAGCGACAGTGGTGCCCGGTGCGGCGGCCCACTGTCACCTTAGGCAAATTGCTTCGCCTCTTTGGGCCTCAGTTTTCTGATCTGGAGAATGGGGTTCTGAAGTGATGTGCTTAGCACAGCCTCGGGAAGTCCCTGTTGTGTGGTGTCGTCGCTATATTAACACTTCCTGCACGTGTGAGCAGGGTGCTCTGTGCTCACAGGCCAGGGTCCCCGGACGGGGTGGGGTGGGGCCTCGAACAGGGCGCAGGCTTTTACCACTGATGTGCAGGGTTCTGCACATGGGGTCGAAAAAAGCAGGTCACGTGGAGGATGTTATAGTTGCTTTAAGTTGTAAGTATCAGGCCAGCCCCTGATGGCCACACCCCATGGGTCCCGGCGCTGGGTTTGCTGATTTGCCCTGACCCTCCTCCTTTAGAAGACGTCCCAGGAGGCCAGGCTGGGGTGTGGGGGCGGGGCCGGGGTTCAGCTCGAGGCCACGGTCCCGCCCGGTATTTTCTCCACTGCGGCCAGCCCTGCCTGTCCTGAAGGTCATGGCCCCAGGTCCCGGGATTGGCGTGGGAAAGCCTGCTCAGTGTCGCACAGCTGGTTCCTGGCGGGGCCCTGGGGACGGACAGCACCTAAGGGTGGGCCTTGGTCTTCACGCACTGCCCCTCAGACCCGTACCTTTCACAGCAGCTGAGGCAAGACAAGGCCGCTGCTCACAGCCTATTCAACTTGGTGGTGGTTTTGCAAAACCTTTCAGATAAAGAGTCCATTGAGCCGGCTGGTCTCGCTGACACACTTCTCTGGCGGAAGCGGGTTGTGTTACCTGCCCGGTGCCGGCCTCCCAGACCCCAGGGAGGTGGCCTTCCTTCCTGGCCTTCCCCTCAGGGTGTGGTCTGGGCAGTCAGTGCCTCCTGACCTTGCCACCCCCTTGCCGGTGACAGTAGAGAGCGTGGCAATGGGGACAGTGTCCCAGGGCAGGCACGCTTGCCTCTGTCCTTAGAGAGATGGGAGGGCCAGTCAGGGGCGGCGGCCAGGGACAGACTCACGTGGTCGGAGCCCTGCTCCAAAGCTTGACCAGGGTCCAGACCTTTGAGTGAGCGCCTTCGTGTGGCTATTCCCATGATGCATGGATACGTGGACACAGGACTGTGTGCATTCACACGTGTGCACGTGGCATGTACACTCTGAACGGCTCCCTGTGCAGCGGACGTGCTGCGGCCTCGCAGGTGCCGCCAGAGCCCTTCACGCCCTGTGAGGTCTGCTCACCATCCTCTGGCCCCCCTGCCATCCTCACCAGCCGTGGGAACCACAGAGACTCAAAGTCACTGTGAAGTGGGCCCTGGCGGGCAGCTCAGCTGGTTAGAGCATTGCCCCTACACCAAGGTTATGGGTTTGATCCCCGGTCAGGGAACATATAGGAATCGATCAGTGAATGCACAGATAAGTGGGACAACAAGTCAATGTGTGTCTGTCTGTCTCTGTCTGTCTTCCCCCTTCCTCTCTAAAATCAACAAAACAGCCGAAACTGGTTTGGCTCAGTGGATAGAGCGTCGGCCTGCGGACTGAAAGGTCCCAGGTTCGATTCCGGTCAAGGGCATGTACCTGGGTTGTGGGCACATCCCCAGTGGGGGTTGTGCAGGAGGCAGCTGATCGATGTTTCTCTCATCGATGTTTCTAACTTTCTATCTCTCTCCCTTCCTCTCTGTGAAAAATCAATAAAATATATTAAAAAAAAATAAAATCAACAAAACAAAAAACTCAAAGTCCCTGTGAAGCGGAGGTGAGGCATGAAAGGGTGTCGGCCCAGGGCTGGTAACTGGGTTAAGTTTGATGAGAAAGGATCTGGGCTCATCCGTCTGCCCTGGGAGGGGCCCTTGCCCAGCTTCTACCACCTGCGGTCGTGTTCCCCGTGAGCAGTGGTGCAAAGGGGACTGCCTGTGTGTGTGTCTGCGTGTTCCCCTGTGAGCAGTGGAGGAAGGGAAGGGACTGCCTGTGTGTGTGTGTGTGTCTGCGTGTTTCCCCCGTGAGCAGTGGAGGAAGGGAAGGGACTGCCTGTGTGTGTGTGTGTGTGTGTCTGCGTGTTCCCCTGTGAGCAGTGGAGGAAGGGAAGGGACTGCCTGTGTGTGTGTGTGTCTGCGTGTTCCTCCGTGAGCAGTGGAGGAAGGGAAGGGACTGCATGTGTGTGTCTGCGTGTTCCCCGTGAGCAGTGGAGGAAGGGAAGGGACTGCCTGTGTGTGTGTGTGTGTGTGTATCTGCGTGTTCCCCGTGAGCAGGGGAGGAAGGGAAGGGACTGCCTCTGTGTGTGTGTGTGTGTGTGTGTGTGTGTGTTCCCCCGTGAGCAGTGGAGGAAGGGAAGGGACTGCATGTGTGTGTGTGTGTGTGTGTGTGTGTCTGCGTGTTCCTCCGTGAGCAGTGGAGGAAGGGAAGGGACTGCATGTGTGTGTCTGCGTGTTCCCCGTGAGCAGTGGAGGAAGGGAAGGGACTGCATGTGTGTGTGTGTGTGTGTGTGTGTGTGTGTCTGCGTGTTCCCCCGTGAACAGTGGAGGAAGGGAAGGGACTGCATGTGTGTGTGTGTGTGTGTGTGTCTGTGTGTTCCCCCGTGAGCAGTGGAGGAAGGGAAGGGACTGTGTGTGTGTGTGTGTGTGTGTCTGCGTGTTCCCCCATGAGCAGTGGAGGAAGGGAAGGGACTGCATATGTGTGTGTGTGTGTGTGTGTGTGTGTGTGTGTGTCTGCGTGTTCCCCCGTGAACAGTGGAGGAAGGGAAGGGACTGCATGTGTGTGTGTGTGTGTGTGTCTGTGTGTTCCCCCGTGAGCAGTGGAGGAAGGGAAGGGACTGCGTGTGTGTGTGTGTGTGTGTGTGTGTGTGTATCTGCGTGTTCCCCGTGAGCAGTAGAGGAAGGGAAGGGACTGCATGTGTGTGTGTGCACACGTGTGTCTTCGTGTTTGCGTGTGTGTGAGTTCACCGGCCTTCCCAGGCGTCAGGTCCCTGTCACAGTGATTCCTGATTCCAGCCGCTGCCCCACATGAGGACCACAGTGGGGCTCACTGGTTGCACTGGTCTCAGCGTCGGCCTTTAGCCAAAGCCCAGGGCGCACCTCGCGCAGCAGCTGTGTGTGTATGTGGGGTGGGGGGCGGGTGGAGGAGCCGGGGGAGCCCCCTGCGTCCCGTCTCCTGCGCATGGACTGGTTCCCCAGGAAGTCCCGTGGGAAAGCGGGGGTGCCGGTCGGAGGAGAGGGGAGCAGAGTCCAGCCCCCTTCAACTGCCTTTCACAGCTGCGCTCCCGGTCTCCAGAGCATCCCCGTGTGTGTCAGTCTGGGGGCGCCGGCGGCGTGTGTGTGTGTGGGGGGGGGGTAGGGGGGTGGGAGGGGTTGGGTTGCGAGTCCCTGCGATAAGCTGTCAGCCGCGGGGGGTGCCGCCATGGGGCCATGTGGTTTCCGCCGCGGCCGGGTGGGTGAGGCTGTTTGTTTCCAGGGCGGGGAGCGGATTTCCACGCTTCCAGCCGCGGCCCCACGGGCAGTTGGGCGATAGCTCTTGGCTGCGGGGGCCGCGCCAGGCCACGGGACGGTAGTAGCAACCCCGCCTCTCCCCTTCGCCGGCTGCACCCCTACCCGCTGGGCATCCCCGGTGGCTGTGGGCAGTGCCCGGGGGCGCCCGGCCCCGGACTGGGAGCCGTGGGTTGGGGTGAGCTCAGGGTCACCCTCCCCCGCGGTGCTCCCGGGGCCGTGCTCCCCTCCCAGGCGCTCCCGGGACGCCGCGAACGCGTGTCCGAAGGGGGACGGGGACGGTGCAAGCGGCTTCCTTGGCCTCAGAGGCGGAGGAACTAGGTCTGAGGTGTAAGAAATGGCGAGAAGGCAATGGATGGTAGGTCAGAGCAAACGTTGAAAACAGTAAAAAAGCCAAAAACCGAGGCTCATCCCCCACCGCCCCAAGCCTGAAGCCCGGGTTCCACGGCGGCCCCCTGGAAACTACAACTCCCGTGAGGCTCTGCGCGGCACGCGTGCGCCCTGCATCCGCGGGCGTGTGGCCGTTCTAGAACGGCGGGTGGAGGGCCCGGGCGCCATGTTGGGGCCCAGGGGACAGCGGAGAGACGCTTGAAGCGGCGGGAGCGGAGCGGGAGCGGGTCAGACCCGGGCTGGTAGGAGCCCCGCCCCTCCCGCCTCAGCGGATCATGACCCGGGCAGCGGCCACGGAGGTCGCGGTGGCGGGGAACGTGGCGTGGCCGGGCCAGCGCTAGAGAGGATGCCGTTTCCGGCGACAACCCCGGGATCACAGCAGACCCCGCCGCCACCCAGGCTCTATGGCATCTCCTCCCCCATCAGCTTAGCCGCCCCCAAGGAGACAGACTGCGTACTGACCCAGAAATTAATTGAAACCCTGAAGCCCTTTGGGGTTTTGGAAGAGGAAGAGGAACTGCAGCGCAGGATTTTAATTTTGGAAAAATTAAATAATCTGGTAAAGGAATGGATACGAGAGATCAGTGAAAGCAAAAGTCTCCCACCCGCTGTGATTGAGAACGTCGGCGGCAAAATCTTCACGTTTGGCTCCTACCGGCTAGGGGTGCACACCAAGGGCGCCGACATCGACGCGCTGTGCGTCGCGCCGAGGCACGTGGACCGCAGCGACTTCTTCACTTCCTTCTACGACAAGTTGAAACTACACGAGGAAGTCAAGGACTTAAGGGCGGTGGAGGAGGCGTTTGTCCCCGTTATCCGACTGTGTTTTGATGGGATAGAGATTGATATTTTGTTTGCAAGATTAGCACTGCAGACTATTCCAGAAGACTTGGACCTAAGAGATGACAGTCTGCTTAAAAATTTAGATATTAGATGCATAAGAAGCCTTAATGGTTGCCGGGTAACCGATGAAATCTTACATCTAGTACCGAACATTGACAACTTCCGGTTAACCCTCAGAGCTATCAAGCTGTGGGCCAAATGCCACAACATCTACTCCAATATACTAGGGTTCCTGGGAGGCGTCTCCTGGGCCATGCTTGTAGCAAGAACCTGCCAGCTGTATCCAAACGCAGTGGCATCCACGCTTGTACGTAAATTTTTCTTAGTGTTTTCTGAATGGGAGTGGCCAAATCCAGTGCTACTGAAAGAGCCTGAAGAACAAAACCTTAATCTGCCTGTATGGGACCCAAGAGTAAACCCCAGCGACAGGTACCACCTGATGCCTATAATCACACCGGCATACCCACAGCAGAACTCCACCTACAACGTGTCTGTGTCCACAAGGATGGTCATGATCGAGGAGTTTAAACAAGGTCTTGCTATCACACATGAGATCTTGCTGAGTAAGGCAGAGTGGTCCAAACTATTTGAAGCTCCAAGCTTCTTTCAAAAGTATAAGCATTATATTGTACTTCTAGCAAGTGCACCAACAGAAAAGCAGCGTCTAGAATGGGTGGGCTTGGTGGAATCAAAAATCCGAATCCTGGTGGGCAGCTTGGAGAAGAATGAATTTATTACACTGGCTCATGTGAATCCTCAGTCATTTCCAGCACCCAAAGGAAATCCTGACAAGGAAGAATTTTGCACAATGTGGGTGATTGGGTTAGTATTAAAAAAGCCAGAAAATTCTGAAGTTCTCAGTATCGATCTCACCTATGATATCCAGTCTTTCACAGACACAGTTTATAGGCAAGCCATAAATAGTAAGATGTTTGAGATGGATATGAAAATCGATGCAATGCATTTAAGAAGAAAGGAGCTCCACCAGCTACTACCTAATCACGTGCTTCAGAAAAATAAAACACATTCGATGGAAGATGTCAGATTGACAGCTTTGAATGACAGCAGTCTTGACTCTGCTGACAGTGAAAACAGCGTGTCTGTGCCTTCACCTGTAAGCACTGTGAAGACTGGCCCAGTGACTGGCTCCTCTCAGGGCAGAAACAGTCCTGCTCTGGCTGTAATGGCAGCATCTGCCACCAGCGTACAGGTTACTGAAGTTACCTTGCAGCAAGGGAACCCCAGTGAGAGCCCGGGGGGTGCAAGCGAAAGCGTTCCTCAGACTGCCTCACAAGCAGCCATTTCTCCACCTCCAAAGCCCACGATCACTAGACTTGTTTCTTCAACACTTCTGGTAAACCATGCCCCCAGGCCTGCAGGGGCCGCAGCCACAAACATAGCTAACCCCATAGTAGGCGTCTAGAGGACTGTCTCACCTCACAGACGGGGGACCGAGGAAGCTACGGTAGAAGAGGAGCGATCTTGTGAAGAGACAGCACAGCTCCATGAGGAGTATGCAAACAGCAGCAGCTCTGTTGGCCGCAGGAAACATCCAACAGAAACCTTTCCAATGTCCCTGCTCTCCCTGCAAATCCTATTCCTGTTAACAAGACTTCAATAAAACAGATTGAACTGATAAACACACCATCAAGCTTCCATAAATAATATCTGCCAACTCGAGCTGTTGTCTTCAAATGCTAAAGGAGGAGAATGAAGGGTGCCAAACTAGATCAGACTCCAGAGAGATTTAGGCTGACTCGGTAACTCCCTTTGCTGAGCTAATCTTGATCAGAAGTCCAGGTTAGTACATGGAGCTAGAAGTGCTGCTATTATTGTGTAGATTATTAATGTCTCAGCAACAGCTGTGTTAACTATGTCAAAGGACTACTTCCCTTAAAGAGAAAATGGGAGAAAAAACCTCCAGCTATCTTTGTACCCGTGACTGACACCTGGACTGCATTTATGTTTGATGCATTGTTGAGGGAAATTTGCCATACAGATTGGTATCAGGTATCCTTATATTGATGATGCACTTTATGTGTATGATTAGAAATGAGCACTAATTTCAGAGGTTTCAGCTTGATGAATTTTAGTTTTTTCCTGAAGCATTTTCATTGTTAAGCTCCAAATTGGATATCGCTGTGCAGTGCACTGCACTTCAGACAAAGCAGGAAAGTTAACCTAGTGAAGCTCCTGGGAGGCAGCTGTAGCCCTTTACAGTGAAATGGCAGCTCTCACGGTATATTTGACATCAGAACAGTAGTTAGTAATTCTTTGGTTTTGATGGGACGTGGTCAAGAAGTGACACTGTTTTCCTGTAGGGTTGTTTTATAACGCACACAATCAGCGATCAAACAGCAAACAAAGTCTTGGGGCTAACAGCTCCATGTTCTGTTGTCCTTAATCATCTTTCTTATAACAAGATAGCCTTGTGTCTCCCCACTGCTTTGCTTGTATGCACACGGTATGCTTGTATGTTGTTTAACAAAAAAACCCCAGAATGCTAGTATTTTCTTAACCATGATATGAAATCAAGTCTTGTGGCCACATGGCACAAAACATGAAATTTTGGTTCCAGGCTAATATTTTAGTAAAACTTGACTGAAAGTAATGCCCGTGAAACATTAGTCTCAGTTGGCCACTTGATCTCTACACATGAGAAATTTTGTGAACTTCACAGAATACCTATTTATGGGGCATTCATGTCCAACTTAAACAGGTAAGCAGAAAGATCTTTTCTCTAAGAATTTTATGCCAATTTTTGTTTACTAAAATCCATCAGTAAATTTTACATCTAAAAAATAATAATTTCTAGCAAGGACTTGACATATAGTTGGCTTTCCACTCTTTTGTTTTATCCTACAAACTATTAGGAGCACTTTTAAAGAAAACACCACTCATGATTATGCAGAACATCCATGTTCAGGAAACGTGAATGACAACAGACATAGATGAATGACAGCTGTCGTAACCTGGACACAGCACCCTGCCAGGTTCTCCATTCGTCCAGTTCTGTCTCCTCCCCTCTCATCTGCGTCCCTCTACCACCTGTGCAGTTTCCACATTAAACTGCAGTTCCTTAAACCCTTTCTCTATCCTTCTCGGTTAATTTTTCCACAGTTGAACTACAATTTCCTTCCTTTTGTCTGTGCAGTAATTGAGCCCTTCTTTTCAGCACACAGTGGGCCATTTCACAGTTTGCCTGTGCAGTCACCAGCCTCCTGCTGCCGTCATAAGTCACGCGTGCCCGGTGCCCAGTGTTTGCAGTAGCTGTGGCATCGGGTGGAAATCGCCAGACACGCATTTAGTCCTGTCTTTGTGTTTACACATTGTTTTACTAAGCCGGGGACTTTTAAATTCTAGTTTCATTACCTGAATATCAGACTATTTTTCTCATATGATGTATGTAGTGTCTCATGACTGGAGTTTGCTTTGTCCTATAGCACCTGTACTTGTATTGTTTCAAGCGCTATTTTGAAAACAGATGATGTATTTCTCCACTGAAAACACAATAAAAATAAACAGCAAAGGAGTTAGTAAAGGGGTCTAAACCTGGCATTACCAGTGCGGATGTTCTTACATTGCTCGGAGCAGGGTGAAGCCGCTGAGGAGCGTTCTGACTATGAAATCTAGATTCATGTTATACTATTAGGGGAGATTACGAAAAGGCCGAAACTTCAAATTCGTAAAGGTAAAAATTGGAGTTTAAAAGTCTTAATCCAAAAGAAGGCAGGAAAGAAAGGGGGGGCACATAAAAAATAATATAAAAAGAATACAATCTAAGGTGGTGGAAATGAAACCAAATATCTGTCACTGTGTATAATAAATGGAGCAAACTTCCTGACTAAAAGAGATGGTCAGATTCCATGGAAAAACAAAGCCAGCTGCATGCTGTTTTTCTTTCTTTTTATTTTATTTTATTATTTTTTTCTTTTCTTTTTTTTTTTTTATATGAGAGACACACACCCAAAATGTAAGACATAAGAGAATGGAAAGAAGAAATACTGATGAAAAGAAGCTGTTATGTAACAATATCATCCAAACAGATTTCAAAGCAAAAAAAATGACTAGGGACAAAAGGACCAGTGCATTAATGATAGAAGAAAACACACCAGGAAAATGCAGTGATTTAACACCGGTCTGCACTCATCAGCCTCAACATAAGGTAACAAAGATAAATAGAAATTGTCAGCGCCACAGAGGATTTTAAAACAACGCTTTCATTAATGGCATCAAAATGACAAAAAGGGAACCGGTTTGGAGCCCGACTGGCAAACCTTTTCTGTAGCGCTCGGCCGGAGAGTGAGTACTTTGTGCTTTGTGAGGCCCCTCGGTCTCTGTCCCAACCACTCGCCTGCCTCTGGGGTGAAGGCACCCCTGGACAGTATGTAGACAGGCGGCCAGGCTGGGTTTCTCCCTGCTCCTGGCTGGAGTTTGTCACCCCTTACCTAGTGGACATTTATGGTAGCGCCTGCCACCCAACATTTGGAAGTGCATATTATTCTCAAACTAGGGGTCCAGTGCATGAATTCATGCACCTTGGAAGGAACTGTGGGCCTCGAGGCTGTGGTGGGCACAGGGGCAGGCCTCAGCCCATCCTCTGTGCCCCTGTCTGGCCCCTCCGGCTGCGGTCCCCAGTCCCCTTTCTGCTGGCAGCCCCGCTCCCACCGCCCCTGCCACTCCCATGCGCAGACGGTGCTGGCCCTGCTTGCACCCACTGGCGGCGTGGAGCAACTGGGGCTGCCGTCAGCAGTGGGTGCAAGTGGAGCCGGTGCCGAGCGATCAGGACTGGCACCGGGCTCCAGCAGCAGGTGTGAGCGCCGGGTGGGACTGCGGTGCGCGGGAGCAAAGAATTTTCAGTAACCACCGGAGGCTTGCCCGATGGCAGTGACCCATGCCCCGCCTTGGTCTGGTGCCCCCGCTCACCTCCACCATCCCGCCACAGCCGACGCCTGCCATGTTCCGCACGCACCCCCTGATGGTCAGCGCACGTCATAGCGACCGGTTGTTCGGTTGTTCCGCCGTTGGTCTATTTGCATATTAGGGTTTTATATATATAGATAAGCATTGGGCATGTGCAAAAATTAACCCTGTGCTAGATCAGAAAGTAGGACAACATCTTTCAAAGCATTAGCTTCACAAAACATGTTCTGTGATTCCAGGAGACACAACAAACTCCCACCATGCAGAAAGGCTGAGGGACAGAGTCCCTTCACTGTATCAAATAATGAACAAAAAGACGCTCAGCCACATTAGTAGTAAGGAAACTACAAACTAAGATGCAGAGATATTTCTTAAAGTTCAGTGATCAGCGTGGCAAGGCTGAGGCCCTGACACAGCGATGACAAGGGTGCGAGTCGCTTTGATCCCTTTGGGAGATGGTTGGGTCTTGTCTGGTGCCATTGACATGCCCACTCCCTGTGTTCCATCTATTCTGTGAGCAGGTCTCTGCCCCCAGGCTGTGGGCACTGATGGGCTTCATCTAACTGGTCCCTTTCTCCCTCGAGGTGGCCTGAGTGTGTGGGTCACCTCGGTAGCCCTGTCCGGAACCCTACACACCCTCCAGCGTGCCATGTGACTATCACAGTTCTCCTTCTGTGTCACGGGTCAGAATAGTTGGGGAGCCCGCTGCCCGAGTCACCAGGAGAGTCTGTAGCGTGTTCTGTAATAGTTAAAGCTGAAGTACCCCACAGATGCACACGTGGGGCTGACACAGGGTGTGGCGTGCAGTAGACAGTGGAAAGCAGAGATTTTCAATGGACCGCAGTTACATGATGGACGTGGAGCCAGCTCATAATGTGGAGGGAAACAGGAAATTGCAGAAAAGAGTGTGGGTATGATGGACACACGGTTTAATTTAGGGTTACAGGATGTGTGGCGTAGCTGTAGCTGCAAAGCAAGGGGATGCGAAGCACGGACTTCAGCCGGGTTCTCTCGGTGGGGGAGAGGCGGGAGAGGCAGGGGTGCAGCTGTGAGCACGCAGCCAGGCTGCAGTGCCCACTCTCTCGGGGCGGGGGGCGTGAAGTGGTGTTCATTCTGTCCTTAGTCTGAGTTACAAATGTGTTCATGTGTGTGAACTATTTTATCTATAATAATAAAAGCATAATGTGCTAAATAGACTGGACAGCCGAACAACCTTCCGGATGACCTTCTGGACGAAGCTGGGGCTGCGAGGGCCAAGGCAGACAGAGCAGCGATGGGCCGAGCCCCTTGCACAAATTTCGTGCATCAGGCCTCTAGTAATTTATAAACCCAAGTGATATCTTAAAAGTGATATCAGGCCCTAGCCGGTTTGGCTCAGTGGATAGAGCGTTGGTCTGTGGACTGAAGAGTCCCGGGTTCAATTCCAGTCAAGGGCACATGCCTGGGTTGTGGGTTTGATCCCCAATAGGGGCCGTGCAGGAGGCAGCCGATCAATGATTC